CTAAAAAACCTCACAATATAAACATTTCTTCTGAACATACACATATTAGAAAATTATGAAGCTGGTACAAATCTTCATGAACCAAAATGATCATCTAACCACTGGCTTTCTTTCCCATCAATGTTTTGAAGTGAATCTGATGCCACCAAATCAGTGTGTTTATGTGTATGTGTATATGGGTATGCGTAAATATTTGAAGTGTGACTAGAGCAAGGAGTCTCTGGACTGCCTAGGAAACATGAATAGGCTGAAGTATTAGGAACCATTCTTGTTAAAATTAGTTTCTGTCACACTTTGTTTCATTGTTATTTGGAAATGTCTGTCTCCAATGATTAGAAATAAATTTTAGGGGAAAAAGGTTTTATATATATGATAAACACAATCACCCAAGCACTGATACTGCTCATTTGATGGATTCTTTCCAGGAACATTTACAAGTGTGTCAACTATTTGAAATCAATATTTAGAAACATATCAACTAAACAGAGACATCTAAAGAGCAACACATCAATGTTCATAGGAAACTACTGTTCACAAAATGAAGTTATTTTTCTTCAGTCAAGAAGAGAAGGTATCTAGCTTTGTAAAAATAGATATTAATGACAATCAAATTACTTAGATACTTGTCAAGTCTTCCAGGGACTTATTCTTTTTATGAAGTTTTTCTGCTTTGACTCCAATTGTCTTTTAACAAAAGACCTACTCTTATTAAACAGAGGAAATCCCTCTACCTAAAATATGATTTTCCTAAGCGGAATCATTCCATAATCCCTCAAAAATCAGTTTGAAATTTCCATAGTTCTAGAATTCCAATTCTACAAATGTATTCTAAAACTGAATAACCACCAATAAGATATTCACTATTCTTTGACTAGATATCAAAGTAATAGAAACAGAATGAATGTAGAACATTAGGTAAGTAGTTATAGTGAGTTACTGACATGTATCATGGTGGTGGCTGGTACTTGTCAGAGTGAAGGACACTAACAGCTACTCTTTTATTGTTGTTGTAATTAGTTTCCTTTTTATTTTAAAGATTTATTTTATGTGTGTTTTATAGAATGAATGTACAAACACACACACACACACACACACTCTCACACACACACCACATGTATGCCTGATTTTAGCAGGAGCCAGAACAGAGGGTCAGAGTCACTGTAGTAACTGCAGTTACAGTTGGTTGTGAGTAGATGTGTGGAATCAAATTCAGGTCTTCTGCAATAGTAGCTAGTGGTCTTAACCACTGAACCATTTCTCTATCCCATATTCCTTTATTTGTAAAAATTCATTTTATTTTTTTATATATGTCTGTGCATGTTTGCCATTTATGTGTAGATGCTGGAAAGAATCAGAAGATGGCATTATATGCCCTAGAGCTGGAGGTACTGGTAGCTGTGAGCCACCTTATGTGGGTGCTAGGAACAGAACTTAGTCATTTTAAAGAGCAGCAAGATCTCCTCGCCAATGAGGCACTTCTTTAGTTCCTACTCAGATTTACACAGTACACTGATCCTAGTGTACCATTTTTAAAGGTTAGAACATACAGATAAGAAGTTACTAGTTGTGATAATTTTGAGAATGATGCTGTTTTTAATTTATCTTAATCATGTTATTTATGCTTATCAGCATTAAATTTTTTTTCAGTATTGTGGATGTGACACATGGCTTCACACATTTCTGTCAAATGCTCTACCATTTTTCTCATTCTCCCACATTGACATCAAAAGACTTGCATCATCTTCTTTATAGCTACAATTACACATATGACAAATACTTACATATGAATATAGGTCATAACAAAGGTAAAGTCAGCTCCCAGCATCATGTGGATGGCTGTAAAAATGAGCATCTTATAGACTGGAAATTATATGCTAATTTTTTTGTAAATAGGCAAAACAGTCAATAAAATCTTGGGTTAGATACTTCAAAAATTCACATGAGGGAAAACTCTTCAAACGGACTTTAACTTCAAATGAGATTTAGCTGGAACTGAAGCTGCCTCCAGACCTTACAATGTGTATCTAGTTCCCTTAAAAGCCAGGCTACTAGAGCATACATAGGCTTGGGCCCAGATTTTCCCCAGAAGAATGATACTTTAATAGTTGAAATTTTATAATGTTAAAGTCAGTAAACTCAGCTGGTGAGTTTAGCATAGGCATTGAGGTTATAAATTCCTGTCTGTCATCTTTCCTGGAGCTGAAACTGCACTGATGTTCAGACTATTGACACATGTCGCCTTCTCCTTGTGTTGGCTTTTTTTTTTCTTTCGATATTCCCATTGAAAGGCACTTCCTACCACACCCCAAGACATAGCATGCAAATAGATCCATTCTTATCTCCTTGTAAAAAGCTCAAGTCCAAGTGGATAAAGGACCTCCACATAAAAACCGAAACACTGAAACTAACAGAAGAGAAAGTGGAGAAGAACCTCAAATACTTGGGCACAGGGGAAAAGTTCTTGAACAGAACACCAACGGCTTTTGCTCTAAGAGCAACAACTGACAAATGAGACCTTATAAAATTGCAAAGCTTCTGTAAAGGACACTGTCAATAGGATAAAACACTGACCATCAGATTGGGAAAAGATGTTTACCAATCTTACATCTGATAGAGGACTAATATCCAATATATACAAAGAATTCAAGAAAATAGTCTCCAGACAATCAAATAACCCTATTAAAAATGGGGTAGAGAGCTAAACAAAGAATTCTCAACTGAAGAAACTCAAAGTCCAAGAAGCACCCAAAGAAGTGTTCAACATCTTTAGTCATCAGGGAAATGCAAATCAAAAAAACAAAAAACAAAAACAAACAAACAAAAAAAATCCTGAAATTCTACCTCAGACCAGTCAGAATGGCTAAGACCAAAAACTCAGGTGAGAGCAGATGCTGGCAAGGATGTGGAGAAAGAGGAACACTCCTCCATTGTTGGTGGGATTGCAAGCTGGTACAACCACTCTGGAAATCAGTCCACCAGTTCCTCAGAAAATTGGACATAATATTACCTGAGGAACTAGCTATACCACTCCTGGGCATATACCCAGAAGATGCTCCAACACATAACAAGGACACATACTTCACTATGTTCATAGCAGCCTTATTTATAATAGCCAAAAACTGGACAGAACCCAGATGTTCTTCAACAGAGGAATGGATACAGAAAATGTGGTACATTTACACAATGCAGTATTACTCAGCTATTAAAAACAATGACTTCATGAAATTCTTAGGCAAATGTATGGAACTAGAAAATATCATCCTGAGTGAGGTAACCCATTCACAAAAGAACACACATGGCATGCACTCACTGATAAGTGGATATTAGTCCAAAAGCTCATAATACCCAAGATACAACTCACAGACCACATGAAGCTCATGAGAAAGGAAGACCAAAGTGTAGGTGCTTTGGTCTTTCTTAGAAGGAGTAACAAAATATTCATGGGAGCAAGTATAGAGACAAAGTGTGGGACAGAAACTGAAGGAGGGGCTGTTCGGAGACTGCCTCACCTGGGTATCTGTCCCATGTGCAGTCATCAAAGGCAGGCATATGCTGTTGTGGATGCCAAAAAATGCATGCTGACAAGAGCCTGATATAGCTGTCTCCTCAGAGGCTCTGCCAGATTTTGACATATACAGAGGTGGATGCTCACAGCTAACCATTGATCATCAAGGAGTTCCCAATGGAGGAGTTAGAGAGAAGACTAAAGGGGCTGAATGGGTTTGTGGCCCCATGGGGAGAGCAACAATACCAACCAACCAGAGCTCCCAGGGTCTAAATCACCAGCCTGGGAGCACACAGGGAGGGACCCATGACTCCAGCTGTGTATGTAAGGGAGGATGACCTTGCCTGGCATAGGTGAGAGAGGAAATCCTTGGTCCTGTGAAGGCTGGATGCCCCAGTGTGAGGGCAGGGAGGTAGGAGTGGATGGGTGGGTGGGGGCACACCCTCATAGAAGCAGGAGGAGGGGAGATAGTATGCAGATGTCTGGGGGGGATGGAGAAAGGGGATAACATCTGAAATGTAAATAAATAAAATATCTAATTAAAAAACAAAAACTTTCTACCCCAGGAAGCCTGTTTTCCTCAATGTGCAAAGGCTCTTTCATTTCCTCATCTCTCCCTCTAAGATTTACAAACAAATGTTGGTTTGTACTATCTGAACTTCAGAATGTGCTCACTGGTGCTCAGTGCTGCCCTTCACATTTTCTACCTTTTTTCCTTTAAATGTTATTTTTTGTTGTTGTTGTTTATTTGTGAGATAGCAATTTAATTGCAATTTCTCCCTTTCTTTTTCTGCCTCTAAAGTGGAGTCTGAACACTCTTATATACCCTTTCCTACCCTCCTTCAAATTCATGCCTTTCTTGCTCATTGACTGCTATTGTGTACGTGTGTGTGTGTGTGTATGTGTGTGTGCATCTGTCTGTCTGTTTGTCTATGTCTGTGTGTGTCTGTGTGTATTCCTAAATATGCCCTGTTGTGTTTAAATTCTTTTAAACAGATTTGAAACATAAAAATACATATTTAATAAGCATTAATTTTATTAATCTGTGTTATTTAAACTGAAATATACCTTACTTCTCTCACTGGATCATAACATTTCCTAGCAAAATGTCAAATATCCCACATGAATCTTTAAATACAAAGGTCAGCATACAATAGGTGTTCTGCATGAATGTATTGTTATGATACTACAGAGAACTGAAACACAAATTCCTGGAAACTTGTCCCTGAGAGGAGAAGAACCCACTTGAGGGTCCTCTGCATTTCTGACCAGGGTCTCAAGGACTCACAGAAGTCACAACCATGCATCATGATCAATTTTATTGTTGAACTGAATGGGTGGACTAAAGATAGAAATAAGAAATGTTTTTCTAAAGATAGGAAACCTAAATGTTTTTCTAGCCAAGAGAGGTAGAGGGTCTGGCCTTCCTGGTTGAATTCATGAGTTTAGGTGGAGATGTCACTGTAGCTATTTATCCTCCTTTGTACACAGGTTCTTAGCACTCTTCTTCTTTGCAGTGGTAGGTGGTGCCACCCCTAAGACAGCGAGGTTGTGGGTGGTGAACTTTTTTGCGGCTAACAGTATTCCGAAGCCTCAGCCTTTCTGAGTGGGAAGAACAGCCTGCTGAACAAGAAGCCCCGCAAGAAGTTGAGCAGGTAGTGAGACAGAGGTTTGGGCTTTTGGGAGGTGAACATTTGGGAGCATTTGGGAGCTCTGAAGGTTGTTGCTTCTGCTGTGACATTGTTCAGCTAAAACATTAAATCTGGGGGGAAAAAAGAACATACTGAAATATCAGAGACTGGAAGTGTAAGTCATTTTTCTGAAGATATGAGGCTGCCAGCAGTGGAGCCAGCATTAGCAACTCAGAGAAGACTATTGAAGGACAGTAGTCTCACTGGTAGAGCACATCAGGAGTAAATTCTGAGAGAATTTCTAAGAATTTATCAATTATCAAGTTAGTAACATATCCTTCTCTTATAAAAGAAACAATAAACTTACCTGAACTAATAGGACCCCCTTTTGGGTGCTCATGCCCACCATGCTCAAGTGTAAAGAACAAACACATCTGCTTTTTAATTGGTTTCTGGCCTCAGTTTTCCAAGCCTATGTGATATGTCTCTGCTGTTTCTTCTTCCCTCTAGACCCTGTGGATCTGTCTCATGTCAGATCATTTCAAGGTTCTTGGCATGGGTTTCCATACCTTCTCCTCTCCCTGCTACAAATCTTTCCTACCTGCTCTAGCAAATTGCTGAGAGAGACAACAGAGAAGGTCAAGACTTCCTTAGCAAAGCCTGAGCAAGTGACAACCAAGTACCTCTTCAACCCAAAATAGCCTTACCTTCCAGAAGATAAGTAGACAAGTCACCCCAGGAGGAGCCTGAGGTTTTATGGGACCAGGAAGGATGATGCTATTTTATATATCCTCCAGTTGAAACCTCCAGGCTACTTGTTATTGAAGGACTGTCATGGAGTGAATGATCTATCTAGGTATTTCATAATTCCCAGGGCAGGATTTCTCATCTGTATACAGCTGGGGTGCATTGCAAAGGGAATTCGGGTAAGCAATCAGAGAGGAACCTGAGGCCTTCAGGCTGGCTTACGTAGAGGTGAGTAAACTGCACAAATCCTATGAGATGAGACAGGATGGGGGACTGGATGAAGACTGCTTCTGAGTTAATGTAGAGTGAAAACGGGAAGATAGTCTTCAGTCTGTGACCAGAGTCTGAGGAAGTTCCTTGTCTCCTGGCACACAGGACTGAACTTTCAGCCCATCACCCTGCACCCCAAAGGACTTACCTAATTTTATAGTCATATCGGAGTCCTATGTCCTCTGAGTTCTGTGGATTCTCTCACAGATCTGTTGCTGTCCTAAATCCTAGTGACCTAGATACATATCTTATTTCCTCTAGTAAACTGTTTCTGAATGACAGAGCCCTTGCTCTTATCACTTCTGCATTCCTAGAGCCTGATGTTATCCACAACACACAATAAAAGTACTCATTAATGTTTGATGAAGGGCTCAGTATACCTGACTTTAGAACAAAGCTTGTATCTCATGGGAAGAAAAGTTAGGAAATAAAACCCATATCCTTTTTCTTCATAATTAGATGTTCATTTTATTCCACTTCTGTGAACCCCCTTTCCAAATCTGTGGGTGGACCTTGCCATATACAATAGACTGAGAGTAGGGAGGAGAAAAACCATTCATAAATGCCTGTCACTTAAATACAAATAAGGATCTGCATATTGATCAGGACACCCATGGAAAAACCTTTTACAAAGCAAAGTTTTTCTTGTTCTTTATGAAAATTGATATTATTCCATGTTTTCTTTGTTAGAGTAGCAATCTTTTCAGCTAAATACTGTTTCTCATTTCTAGGTGTTTCCATCTCAGAATAACTGTTGATGTGCACCTGACATAAGGACGAGCTTTTCTGTAAGTCTTCTCAGTAAGTCTTGACAGCCTCAAACCATCCCTACAAAAATATTGAAATTTAGAAACAATTGGCTAAGTGATAAAAGATGACATTTGGTTGTATGATCAGTCTTCAAAATAAGATTGCAGACAAAGGTGAGCTTGATTAGGGGATAGGATAAGGAATAAGGAGCCTAACACAAAAAAACTTAATACAATTGGAAGAACTGTTTTTGGAAGGCTAAGCCCAGCAAGATTGTGTTATTGAAACTCATCTGTTTCTTCTGATGAGATTTTGGAATGAAGTTTGGATGAAGGTAATTTAAGTACTTATGGAAACACAGAAGGTGGGAGGATGGTCTGAAGCCTATCCCATCCCATAAAGAGAGGATCCTGAAAGGAGTGCAACAGGTTTAAACGTCAGTGAATAAACAACATCTCTCTTCACTTCTGTACCTTTCTTCCCTCCCAACACCCTTAGGCAGAAGAAACCTCTGGCTGTTCCTCTGCATGCTTCATGCTCACTGAGCCATTGTGGGAAGGCAGAATGACTGATCCAATGCACTACTTTTCATTTTCCCTACTCAAGACCTACAACATATAATTTCCCCTCATGGAGATCTCATATATCACAAAAGCATTTATTTGAATTTAACCAATAATCATCCATTCATTATGGTTCCTATATGCCAAGAGCTTTGAGGTCTTTCTGGGATTTTTGGCATTAATATTCTCCTCTTGATGAATTGAGCATACCTGCCTATTTTATATATTTCCTAGTCTATGCACTATAGTATAAAGTAACTATAGAACTCTTTAAATGCAGTTAGTTTCTTCACAGTGAGCCTCATCAACATGTACAAAAGTGTAGGATTGATTCTAGAAGGATTTTCACTTGCAGTAGAGGGTACTGATCTAGGTTTGCCTAGTCACTACGGAGCCTCTTCTTGGCCTCAACCTGTTATATCTTCAAATGAACTTACACATCTAGCCACTAGTATATCAGGACACCAGAAATTTAGTATTCTTAAGTTTCAGTTCCATGTCTCCTTCTGGTTTAGGTGTCTAAGAGTAGAATTCCATAACTGGATAGTAAATAAAAACCTGCTATGAACATGATGCAAGAAGAACAGCACCCCACCTCATGCTTTAAAGAGTTCTAGAGAGAGCAGGTATATGTTTGTAAGTGACACCAGATGATACTAAAACATGGGGAAACACAGCACCAGGCATGGATTTGAGAGTGTGATTAGTTCTCACAAACTAGTTAGGAAGATAGTTTCTGGAGAGAAGTGTTAATCATTGCTGAGTTTAGTAGGGAGACAAGATCCTAACTGGGGAGATTTCTCTTCTCATTCCTACTCATCCTTGCGACCATCAAGTTTTCCTGAGCAATAAGCACTTACAGGTACCTAGCTTCAAGTAAAGTTTCTCTAAATCTTACTTCTTTGTATTTTTCTTTAGCCTTTTCTTTCTAGTGCCATGAATCTTGTAGATATCCTAGAAGTGACATCCCAAGTGCATTTTAAAAGTCTCTTTTATCTTGCTTTATTATTTCATCCATAGTTCCCATGATTGATATATAACCTTCTATAACATGCTGATGTCTTCGAAATAAGTCTAACCTCCATCATTAACGGTTCTGTAATTGTGATCCCTATCCTGCAACTTCAAGCCCTGTGCTAGTGCTTTACTTCATTGTATCTCCTTTGCTGAATAAGTGAATATGTTATACAGTGAATGGGAATCTTTCCTTTCTGATTTCTGGATGTCTATTTCTATATCTTTCTCTCTCCCTTTCTTCCTATGCTATCTTTCTCCCTGCCTCGTCTACTTGTTTTCTCCTCCTTCACTTCCTTTCTTCCTTGCTTGCTTCTGCTGTGTATATGTACTAGTTTTCCATTATCCATTCATCTGTTAATAGGCTGGTTCCAGTTCCTGGACATTGTGAATAGAGCAGTAATAAACAGATGTAAAAACATATCAGTGACAGCATATGGAGCTTTTTGGGTAGGTGTCTAGGTATTGTGCAGCTAGATGATATAGTTCTATTTTTAATTTTTTGAGGAACCTTCACACTAGTTTCCATAATACCTGTACACATTTACAACTCTACCACCAGTGACTAAGGATGCCTTTTTCTCTGAATCCTTGCTAATATTTGTTGTCTTTTTATTCTTACTGGAATAAGATGACAGCACAAAGAAATTTTAATATACATTTCCCTGAGGGCTAGTGTGGTGAGAATGTCTCCCATAGGTTCATAAATTTTAATGCTTGGTCCCCAGTGAGTAGAACTATACTCACTGGAATAACTATACTCACTGGAAGGAATAAGAGCTGTTGCCTTTTGAGAGTAAGTGTGGCTTTGTAGATGGTGTGTCACTGGGCTTTGAACTCTCTCTCTCTCTCTCTCTCTCTCTCTCTCTCTCTCTCTCTCTCTCTCTCTCTCCTTCTCTCCCTCCCTCCTTTGCTCCCTCCTTCCCTCCCTCCTTCTCTCCCTCCTTCCCTCCCTCTCTTCTTCCCTCCTTCCCTCCCTCTCTTC